CTTGTGGTGGGAAAGAGCATGAAAATAGAAGGTACTGTCATTCCCCACTGTGGGCAAAACTTGGGAAACATGGTTTGAGATGAAGCAGGAGAGGTAGGAAGAAGCCATTCTGTGCAGGGCTTTGTGTAAACCATGGTAAGAGTTTTTAGATTATTGGTTTTAAAATTTTAAATACAATACTTAATGACATTTTCCTTTCATTTTTTATAGTTAACCATATATTATGGCAAGTGGCACTGGTTTTTATCATAGTAAAATAAGGCTTTCTTTTTAAGTACATTTCAGTTTATAAAAGGAGATACTTTAAAGAAAACTAGTAAGTAAATAATTGTATAGGAGATAATGTGGATTTGGGATTCTCCTGAAAGCATGCTGTTGAGTGTAAATTCTTTAGTCAGTTTTAAGTGTTTATTATGTGTAAATCCTGGCTGTCCAAGTGTCATTTGAATCTTTTGAGACCTAGGAAGAGTGACATTTTCGGGCAAGTACAGCATAGATTTAACTATAGGGAAAAACTTAAAACCACAAAATTACAGTTAAATTATATTTATCTTAAATAAACTAAAAGATATAAATACTTGGTTCATTTTATTTTTCATTTGTATTTTGAATTAATGGCTCCAATCCATTAAGAACTGAGTAGACACTGGGCTTAAGGGTTTGACACAGTTGGTACTGTAGGAATTAACAATCATTATCCCAAATGTCAGAATAGTCTGCTCTCTTTTTCCTTGGAATGAAAAATCAAAACAAATACACTTGCTGTGTGGGAAACAAACTGAGAACATACAGAGTGAGAAATTGAAAAACTTGATTGGCACCAAGAAAGATAAGATGTCTTGGAAAGAGCACTGGGCTCTGGAGCCAATGTTGTGTTCACTCTTGTGCTGGGTACTTTTCAAAGCATTTATTATGGAAAATTTCAAACATATTAAGAAGAAAATATTATTAAATTAAACCGTCATGGTTTCCATCACCCAGTTTCAGCAATTATTTAACTCATGGCTTCTTGTC